CTGAAACTGTATTTAACAGCTAACACACCTAATAACACGGTAGCTAGGCTAGCTAGTAAGCTAGTCTAGTGACGAGACTAGCTAGTAAGCTAGTCTAGTGACGAGACTAGCTAGTAAGCTAGGCAAGATTAATATGATAAAATTTCAAGAACTAAAATGCATTAGAAAAAAACCTTCTTTTAAATGAATTTTATTACTGCTTAATACATGTTTTAAATTTCCTGTTAAATAACTGGCAGATTTTGAGTAGTTATTTTACAAACGTTTGGCTGTTTTTACTTTTAACTTGGGCGGTTGAGACAAAAATAATTTCAAATTTGAAAGTGTTTTTTTTTTTAATTCTTACTAAGTAATTAGATGTGAAAGTAAAAGTTTACTCTAATTTCATTCAAATTTTAATTTATTTCATGGGGTAAAACAAAAAAATAATTTAAAAACCTTAAGTCCACCTTAAAAAATACAACAGATGAATTTACTTACAGGCTGTGTACTCATCTCAACATTTTTATTGCTTTAAAATGAACGCTAACATAAGAGACATTCTATTAAAAAGTCTGTTTAAATGACATTATCATATTACTTACTTTTAATTAGGCATATTTAAAGACTATTATGTAAACTTAATAAATTTTCGTCCCGACAATGTTGGGTCTTGTCGAACAGTTTTTGAATAAATTGAATTTTTTTTTTTTTCAGAAAAAACTCTTAGACAGATTTTTTTTATGTATACTTATGAAACAATGGCTCAACAAGTATTGATAAATTTTATTTTACAATTTTGTATAGTTTTTAATTTACAACCATTTAAAGTTAAAAAAAGATTCATGCAATGTTCAGTTATACAAAATGAAGTCATTTTTTAGTTTAATGTGTTATATAGCCATGCAATTAAGGTTAAAAAAAATATAAATAAAGTAATTAAATAGTTAAATGATATACTTATTTACAAAGATAAGGAAGTGAAGTAAAAACTATCCGTCTTTACATTTTTTGGTACAAAAGAACTCAATGCCAAACGTGTATTTTTCTTGGCAAGCATGCAAAACATTTTGCATGCTTGCCAAGAAAAAAGCTTCGGCATTTAAAAGCTTCGGCATTTAAAAGTTTCGGATTTTTTTTCCAACGTTTGAACACTTCTTTCTCCAAAGTTTGCGCGGATTGCGTGACTCTCTAATCGCTGATTATTTGGCGTAGAGTTTAGTTTTTCCTTTTTTTTTTGAAAAACTCTCATTTTTCTGTTCTACATCCTGTTTGAGTAAGTTAAACATCTCAGGTAAATTGAGACATTCTCTTTCAGGTCTGCTAACTCTGGCATTTTTTGTTTCGCAGTGTTAACTTGATCAATTTGTAGTTGATATTTTAATGCTCTTTTTTATGGAAATCCGGTTTTGATCAACATTTGCTTTCAAATATATCACAATTACTGATTTATACTAATTGATTGAGACTGACGTGTGTGAATAAGTTACTATTATAGATTCGGTAGATTAGCGTAGTTGATATGGAGCTTGTGAAACTTTTGAACATTTAGAACAGAGGTGTGAATCGGTAAACTGAGCCGGAAGGCATGTTAGCTTGACGTTATTTTTAATACAAAGAAGAACATCCTGGTATCAAACGTGTGCTCTGTGGCCATCAAGTACAAACACATGGGTACAAGAATTTTTTTTGAAAGCTGGAAAAAATATTTTAGTAACCCATGGGATGAATTGTTTGTTTTCATCAATCCTACCAAACATTATGGTAAAACTATATATTCTGCATTATTTTGGCTTTTTGTACATCAATTTGCATTTGGAGGATTGATTAGCGTTTAAAATAACATAAATAATCAGAAACATCAAACAACTAAATTTTAATCATGCACGCATAACATATGATATATTATTATATTTTTGAATTAATATGCTATATAAAAATTTATTTCATACTATAAACTACAGTTTATTTCATATAACATATTTCATATATTTTATAGTACTATGAAATATGCATATGGTTACTGATACTTAAATTGAGTTTAGATATATTATAGTATACGTACAATAAGTCATAGGCACATACATATAGACAATGAAATTTGTTAAGGCAAAAACAATTTATCAGATAATTCTAGAAACTAGCAATGCCTTTTTATTCAACGATTCAAAAATTTCAACGATTGAAGTCTTAGTCGGAGTTGGTACTTTTTTTACGACTCCACACCCCTTATTATAAGCTTAATCAATTTAAATCGGTTTTTCAAATAAAATGAAATGAACGAAAAAAGTTTTATAAAAAGATTGCATAAAAGAATCCATATCGTGGCGAAAGGATGCTACTTTTTATTGCTGTAAAAATAATTCATTTTTAAAAATCTAAATCTATCTAAAGGTATTACTATGGCACAAATAAAGCTTCTCAAAATGCATGAAAACAATATTGTTTACGTTTTTCACAACAAAATTGAAAGGCTTGATAGAAAATTATGCATTGATCAAAAGATAATAAAAACTTAGTTAAGTCATTGAATTAAAGAAATCCGTCAAATTTATAAGTGATAAATATGAAAGCATTTTAATAAACTAATCTGAAATAATTTCATAACTAGATGGCCTAATTGGTTAGTTCACCGTCCTTCTGCTCATATAGTCATTACATTACTGGGATTCAAATCTTTTCACGAGCTCATTTTGGGGCTTGGTGATAAGATTAAGTTT